TCCCAGTAAATGGTGCTGCCATCCATCAGCGGGTAAGGTGGATATAGTCTCCACTCACAGTGACCCATGATGACCAGCCATCCACTACTGATGTTTCTGTGTCCCAGGAGACCCCTTAGTGCCGGTGCAAACTGTAGCTGCTGCTGATTGCCCTAACCTTCCTCTCTATCCCAATTTGCATTATTCTGCACCTTCCTAGCGAGCCTCTCAGCTTACCCCGACCCACAAATGTTCTCCATACAGCAGCAGGCCGCCTTTAGACACCTGAGTCTGAGGATAAATAACACCCTCCCATGCACTTGAACTCATAGCCAGCCCCAGCACACCCTCTCCCTGCCTGTATCATCAGCTCCTGCCTGTAGGTCACAGTGTTTCCCTATTTGCCACACTAGAGCCACAACCCTCAACAGGCCACAGCCTCTCTCCTTGGCAAATACCCTTAATTGAGGTCTCAGCCCAAATGTTACTATGTCAGAAAGGACCACTCAGCTCTAAATTGGAACCTGCCTTTTCTCTCTCTCCTTTTTTTCCAGAGAAAGGGTTCTTGCTCTTGTTCAGGCTCCAAGTTCAAGCGATCCTTCTGCCTCAGCCTCCCAAAGTGCTAGGATTACGGGTGTGAGCCCCCACCCATATCTGTCTCCCTTTTCCTGACTTAGTGAAGGCTAACACTGATCAATAGCTAATTAATCAATAGATCTAGATACCCCATATCCCTGTTTCAACCTCCTGATGTCTGTGTCACCACTAAGACAATTTTGTGGGTTTTATTTCCTTTTTTATTGCCTTCCACCCCCTCGCTGCCTCCTGAGCTGAGGGGTTTCAGCAGAAACCTCTGCCTGATTCCCAATGAAATCTCCGACACGTACAAAGAATTGGGACTCAGTTAGTGCTTAATAGGTGAGTAGAAGCAGGGGCTCACTTGAGGAAGAAATAGCTTCTACTCTCAAGATACGTTTCATTATCAAAAAAAAAATTTTTTTGAGGCAGGGTCTCACTGTTGCCCTGGGCAGAGTGCTATGGTGTCATAGCTCACAGCAACCTCAAACTCCTGGGCTCAAGAGATCCTCCTGCCTCAGCCTCCCAAGTAGCTGAGACTACTGGCATGTACTGCCATGCCCAGCTAATTTTTTCTGTTTTTAGTAGAGCCAGTGTCTCGCTTTTGCTCAAACTCCTGAGCTCCAGGGATCCTCTGCTTCAGCTTCCCAGAGTACTAGGATTAAAGGCCTGAGCCACCACGCCCAGCCAAAGTTAAACTTTTATTTATTTATTTACTTATTTCTTTATTAATTTTTATTTTTATTGTGAGACAGAGTCTCACTATGTTGCCCTCAGTAACATGGTGAGCTGGGCCATGGTGT